CAGCACCGATGTAGAAATGGTGTCCAAATTGGCTTTAAGTGTCCAAATATTTAGCATCGGATTTGAAAGAGTGAAATGTTCTCGCAGAGTCACTGCATAATTATGTGCTTAAAAAGACTGTGAGGATTCGTATCAACCTAATGTTTTAATGGCAATCGGCAAGTTGGTCAGAAAACTATCACATTGCCACTTTTTAATTTGGAGAAATTTACGGTGAAAAGCAGTAATGCGCCCAAATTTCAGCTCAGCTCATTACTCAATGTTTTATAAATGAAATTTAGCATTTAATGTTTATGTGATGCCTAGACTGACTCACCACTTCACAGACTGCCAGCGGCCTGTTGGCATCGGCCACCATATCTACCGATGTCTTTTCCTTGATGTCCGGCACCACCGCTTTCTCCTTAAGCGTCACGCGGTAAGATGCGGCCTTGCTCGCCCCTGCGTCCTCGTCCGCGGCCCGCCTAGCCTGCTTGGCAGCGGATCTGGTGACGTCGAAGGGGGAACAGGTGGGCGCCTCGATGGTAATGTAGTGGGTCTCGGTGGTGGCAGAGGTGGGATTCCCCAGCGGATGCGTGGACGATTTCCAGGCACTCTGGTGTAGCGGGTGTTGCTGCTGGCAGGGCCGTGAAGTCGACCCCGACGAGTGATGGGTGGAGGTTGGCGATGCGGTCACAGCCCTACCGGTCATCTGGACCTGCATGGTCCTGGTATACGGTGACGACGTGGACGGGGAGCCCGTGGGAGGTTTCTCCAGGTGTGAGGTGTACTGTGGTGGGTTGAGGGTGCACTTGCTGTTTTCATTATGTGAGGTGCAGGTCGGCCAGCGTGGCAGTTCGAAATCAAAATCTTTGGGAGACTACAAGCAGAAGGAAAAAGCATCAGTAAATTATGCTGGGAAAGCTAAGGGCATCATGCACGGGACACGTTTCATTATTTTGTGGGCAAAGTGACATAGTGAACGCGTTCCGACCTCCTTAAAACAATCAGCGCATCATCAGCTCATGCGCAGTGACCAAAACTGTTCTTTTTTTTAAATCTGTGGCAGACAGCATGCTGGACGTTTTACTCAGGGGTCCAACAGAGGTACTGATGAAAATAATCGAAAGGGGCTCAGGATCAATAGTAAGTCTGGAAGTGGTTGGTTTTAGTCTACGAGTATAGAAATAACAGACCATCAAGCAACTCACCTTGGCCGCTAGGCTGAGGCAGTGAGCGGCGTGCATGAGTTGCGAGTAGAAATCTCGATGAGGAACCGGGTTACGAGAAATTCCAGTGGAATAGCCGGCTGGGTGGCTGGAAGAAAATAAAGCCAAAGGATACTAGTTTGACGACTGCAAACCTCTTGACGATAAAGGTGTTCTCACTGGGGTAGAGAGTCCCTATTTACAGCCGAGTACCTTATGGTCATCTGTAGGACTGTACTTAGTGAATGATAACCGAGCTTCGTAGAGAGTAAACTTGCTGTCTCCCTTGCACTATTTCCGCAACGAACGATAAAAGCGTCGGAGTCGCACTCACACTTCGCACAGCTGCGATCGAACGCAGTTGCAGGATGACCACATCAAGTCAGAACAGCTATCTGCAATGCCCAGAATGTTTCCCGTTTATTTGCTACAACCTTCCCTCCCGAGGTTTCCAATGGATAAAATCAAGGCAAATCTTGCGTTCATGTTAAGAAAGTCACGTGCGCCACACTATTCGTAATTATACGATAATTTGTGCACGGAAAAAATGAGGAAAATTTATTATTTTTTTCAGGACGGCACAATAGAGACATCGAAGAAATCTAACATTTCTCGAATGCAACTTGTATTATTTTATACACTACGAACGTGAATTCAAGAGTACTAGAATGATTACGACACAGCAAGCTGTAAGGGAAAAGATTGGTTTAAGTTCACTTGAGCCAAACAGACATGGCATTTTTACATAAAAACAGATGAAGTGGGGAGAAACACATTCACGCCAATACACCACGCCAAGCGAAAAAAAAGTGAAACAGTCCGGTGCTCATTGAAAACAGTCACAAACAGGAAAGAAGAAATTAGAGTTTTACAGAGTAATTAAGAAGTAGTTTGCCGGCATGCTTAGTTCAGATTTCATGGACACACGAGAAGAAACTTTCAGTGTTTTTCATTTTAAGGTGCCTACTTTATACAAAATTGATTGACTTTGAGAAATGCCAATTGAAACAGTTGTAACTTTACTTAAATGTTCCTTGAACCCATTTCATCCTGTAAATAAAATGTATTCCCGGGTTGAATTATTAAAAGGAATTAAGCTGAAGACGTGAGTTTTACAACAGCAAAGGCATATAGCTATAAGAAATATAGTGTTACCTTGCATTAGTCAGAATTAATGAGCATCAAGGTTTGAAGTTGGTTTGAAAATCTCACTTGCTTTGTAAAAATGGACAAAATTTTTATTTTTTTACCACTCACATTTCGTTATTTTCATACCAATTTTCGTTAGGATAGTTAAGACTGTTAGGGTGGTTACGATTTTGAAAACAATTTCTAAAATGAAATTTATAATTACCATACGTCACCATGACGTCATTTAACGACTTTGCGTAGGTGGAATTTTTTATGAATCGAAGTACTTCTCCACAGAGGAAAAACTGTAGTTTTGTGCTGTGTTCATTGGTGCGAGTTTTGTGTGAGTGAAGAATATTCCAACCGAAGTGCGTCAGTGGAGTTGATATAAAAAATAAAGTCCAGCGTCGTGTGCCACTGTGCCACGTGATGCAGATGCACGGCCTCAATTGGCCCATTGGATGTGCGTGTTGACCAATCACTGGCCAGTGTGTCTTGCCATTATAACAAATGGCGGTCAAGTAGGAGGCGTATATAGATTACCCGTCTGTCCATGGAGGGTAGGGTCTGAGGCCTCGTGTGCATGAAACTGAACAAGCATGATGCAAAAGAAACTAATTATTATTAGATAAGGTTATCCTAGATTTGAAAAACAAAACAAAAACACTGCACTAATGACAACAGATTTCAAGAACAGGATTTATACCTCAACCGCCGCAGACTTTATAGGAGAAAATTATGGAAGCATTAAGGCTTATGCGCGTTTTCTCTGCCCAAACATTAGTTTTGGCGTCTTTACTTTCAAACTGAATGACTTCGCTTTGCGTTTTAGGTGTGTCAGTCGTTAAATGCGTTGGTTTATTTATAAACATCTGCTTGACTATCGATTTTTTTTCAAATCAACCATGGATAATCCAAAGGCCAAAGAGAAGCCTGTAGGAATGCTAAGCTGACAGTAAAATAGCTTAGCTTAAGTCTATGAATGGAAAGGTAAACGAGAGTATTGAGGTCAGCATCGACTGGAGCATCTGATGGAGGTGTTTATCTGCCTGTTATAATCACTTTCTGTGTGATTCTGTCTCAGTGTTTTGCCGCCGTTTTTTGTTTGATGAAGTTGGAATTTTAAAAAATGAGCATAATAAACATAGACTTGGCAATGAGAAAACTCCAACCAGATATATTGGCAAAGAGAGTAAGTTTCTACTTTGTGGCGTTTTGAAAGATGATAACGGGTCATCAAGCGGGCAATATTAGCAAAGCAGCAAACTGAACCTTTTAAGCTGTTTCCGATTTCAGAAACCTTTTTTAATACTGTCCTCAACGAGTTGGCTCAGTTCTGCGCCGTGTGCATGTGCAGAGACCACACTCATCGAGACCCATTGTTATGAGCAACTCTTCTTTGTGGAGCCATTGTTTTCAGTGATACCCACCTTTCAAGCAAACGTTACTTTTTACTGTTATGCAACTTAGATGTGCTATCTTGTTAGACAGTGTGGGGAATTTTAATATAGCGTAGCGCCATAACATGATGTATTTGATATCGTGAAAGTCATTGATCTGTACAGGGATAGGATCGTCCTTACCCGAGTGATCTGTCGAGTGCATACCCGCTCGACAGTGGGTCGTTGGCGGGGTTTAGACCAGGGGGCGTCAGAGATGCTCTGGCCTTGTGGAGTTGACGGAGAGGCTGCTGGCTTGGGAAGAATGGCAAGTGCGGCTTGGGCGGGGTGGCTGGACGGGCTGGCGCCGGCAGGCTCCCGGGAGGTTTGGACGTGTAAACGGTCAGTGTCTGCTCGTTCATCTCCACATTCCACTGCCCCGGGGGCTGCGCTCCGGCGGCCGGGTGCTTACCAAGGCTGGCTCCGCTCCGCTGGGGGCTGTACCCCGGGCTTGGGTCGGGGTGCTGCGCCCACTCCAGGCCGTTGGGGTAATACTGAAGGGCTCTGGCTTTCCGCTGGGACTGCTCCGACATCAGGTTGTAGCGCGGCGAGTTCACCGAGATCTCGCTGTAGGAGATAATGGGCTGAGAGGTCGTGCTGGGCTTCTCGGAGACCCGGGCCCTGCGAAGCACCTGGCCGCCCACGCCCGGCCCAGACCGGCTGAACGGTTCCTCGGAACTGCGCCCTGCGTTTGAATGAACCACCTCCACGCCTGCCTCTGCCGTGGCTTCGCCGGCGTAGTAGATGGTCCGGGGCCGGCCTCCCAACGCCGATTGGGTCAGCTTCTGTAAGGGACCCCCGCACGTGTTGTACCGGCGGTACTGTTCGCAGTACTTCCTGTAGTTGCTGTAGTGTTTGAACTCGTAGTCCGGGTTGCTGGCCGTCTGCTGGCTGGAATGGCCGTACTGGTTGCGGCAGTTCAGGAGCCGCCTCGACGGGGCGCTCGCCGCGTCCGGTTTCGTCCCGGTGCGGCCGCCGGCTCTGGGAGCGGGCTTCTCGGCGGCCGGCCGCCGGTATTGCACACTAGGATCCGGCACCCAACCGCACAGATCGTCCTTGAACTTGACCAAGTTCTGGGACAGGCTCTGCGCGTCCGCTGCCGCAGCTTGGTCCGCGTTCTCTTCGTCCTCCAATTGGAAAAGCATCCGCTGGAGACGATGGTCCAATTTCAGGGAGGAGCAGACCATAATCTCCGCTTCATCTTCTCCTTCCTCCTCCTTGGTTGTCTCGCTATCGGTACCACCTGCCTCATCGTTGGAACTGACACCTTTATTCTTGGTTCCATCTTCAGCATTGTCATCTGAGCGTGATGGCGAACCCACTTCCTCTGTCACCGTAGCCATCATAACCTGAGCCGTGATGTAACTCCGTTCACACGTTCGACCAGTGCTCTCCCCTCACCTTACCGATCCGTGACTGTCAGCTTCATCCATCCAGGCTGATTTTTTTAGTAAGCACAATTTCGAACTATACTTACAGTCGTGAAAAGGTTGGAGGTACATGTACATAATCCATCACAGACATGCAATGCTAAGCTTCACACTTGAATCTCAACCGTGAGCCTACTTCGCTTGTGTCATGTCTGTTATTAACGGACGACAATACCCTCTTGATGAACTCATCAGCAAAGACTCATCATCATTAAGTGTCCACACCGTCCTCGCAATGATGAGAATGTGATTCACTAATGACTCAACTCGAGTACCTGCCAGTGCGTCGAATGCCCGGTCGCGGTGCGACGTGTGAATTATTATCTCCGTCGATGTTATACCGCGAATGCCGCCTTCGATCTGATAATGGCTTCCCGTGCAATTCAATCTCCTCGCCAAAAATATAATTGGGTTTTATTTGGGCCGGAGAAGCCGTTCAAGCGTGCGCCGTTTTGTGTCGACCCACAACAACTTCGGTAACTTTATCAGCCGATTATGGTGTTAACGCTCGCTGTATGTGTGCAGGGCAGCTCACGAATTACAGAAAATGTCCGCGAGATAAGTAACAATGGAAGCACCCCGATCGCGCAAATCCAGTAGGACAGAATTGTTGCAGAGCTTGTTTATTTATACACTACAACTCCAACAAACGTGCGGTGCTAGAACACGGCCTTGGATAGCACTGCTCGTATGCTGCAGCATTCCAACGAAAGGGTTCAAAAGTTGCCCTGTACCCCATGGCAACGGGAACGCCAGAAAAAATCGATTCGGTCAGTCGAGCGCTTTGTTGCTAAGCCGAGGGGTGGATCAATGGAATTTAGTCAACTTCTCTACTGTGTCCCAATGAACGGTAAAGGTGACAATTTATGCTTAAGGTGACCCCCTCGCCGGACAAGTTGAGTCGCTAATTTTAGTCATCGATTTATAGCTTATTGGCAGGTCAATGTTTACCCGATCGACGCACCGTGTGTAATGTTCAGCCCCGTAAACAAATCATCCGCCTAAATGAAATTTGACATATTATTCAATCAATTCATGCTCAGTTGTGTGACGACGTAACAGGGGGCATTATTTTCATAGATCAACATTTCTGGTCATTCGTAGCGACCAAGAACTGCGCCAAAGGAGTTTTGAAAAAGTGTTCGCAGGAGCGACTGCAAGGTCAAGTCTACCGTAAAATGACTGAAGCTCTCATAATGTTTGAACAAGAAGACACATTGGCATATCGGGGGTAGCCAGTCTAGTTATTAGCACAACCCTTGACCAGAGACTGGCTACTGCGCCGGCGACAGACGTGCCCTGAAAAGTTCGCATGCGGACGCATTAAAGGGGCGAAGAGTAATAATAGGTATTCATGGAAAGATCTTCTCTAAAAGATGAGTTTACCGAGTGTAACATATACGTTGAAATCCTATCTGGGAATGTATCTCTAACTTGGAACACCTTAATTTTTGAGTCTTTTCTCTTTAGTTTTTAGTATAATTGTTTAATTCATCCCTCAACGATGAGAAAACACAGAGACGGCTCGAAACGAACAGTGGAGATTATTATTTATCATTGTCTAAGTTTCCTTTTATTGCTTTTGTTTTTGAATTTTTAAAATTACTGGCGAAATAGATCACCGTAATGTCTTTTGTCCTTGAATGTCTTGAAGACTACGTACAGAACTGAAATTATTTGTTTCATTAACGGAATTTGTACTTGGAGTTCATTAATTCCACAACTGTATTTAGGTTTTTAAATTAAAATATTTAATGAGTAAAAACACTTTAGCAGAGCGAGGTTTCGATCCTCGGACCTCTGGGTTATGGGCCCAGCACGCTTCCACTGCGCCACTCTGCTGTCTTGAGTTTGTTTCGACCAAGTTAGACTTTTGAAACTGACATGGCATCTCTGCATCAAGCCAGGAGAATAGTGCAAATGAACCGAAAGTGTGGTAAAATTCAAACCGTCGTTCCTTTAGTCACCAAGAACAGAATTTTAGTAACGTGTTAATAATGAAGCGTATGAATTTTGCATGAAACGTGTTAACATTTGAGGGGTTAAGAACAAGATTTAAACTTTGCACTTGACTTCAATCTAAAAGTGTAAATTTTCAATGGATTTTACTTGGAAAAGATAACTGAGAATACACTGCAAGTTTAAAATCTAATCGCTCAGTATTTTACAACTGGTTTCCAATAAATAGAATAAAAAATTAATGAAGCAGTTTTTTTAATGAAAAAAGAATTAGCAGAGCGAGGTTTCGATCCTCGGACCTCTGGGTTATGGGCCCAGCACGCTTCCACTGCGCCACTCTGCTATCTTGACTTAAATTTTATTAAGGTATAGCTTTATAACTAACCCACAGCATTATTCGTCCTTAGGCAGAAAATGATGCAATTACTGAAAGTATGGTGAAATCAAGCGGTCGTTTGTTGTCATAAAAACACAGAGTAAATTGGAAACTTTATTAATTTCAGCTTTCTCCATCTGGGTCAACTATTCTTATTAAAATAACAATAAAGCAGTTTTGATTTTAAATTAAGAAAAAAAAATTAGCAGAGCGAGGTTTCGATCCTCGGACCTCTGGGTTATGGGCCCAGCACGCTTCCACTGCGCCACTCTGCTTTCTGGAATTTATGTTAATCCAATTAGACCTTTGGAGTAGCACATGGCATCGCTCGACGCAAGTCAGAAAAATTATACAATAACCGAAAGTGTGGTAAAATTCAAGAGGTCGCTGTTTGTCATAAATAAAAGAATTCTTAGTAACGTGTTAGTAATAAAACGTTCAGATTTGGCATGAAACGAAATGCGTTAATATTCGGGGTCTGGAATAAGATATAAACCTTGCACTTAACTTCAACTTAAAAGTGTAAATTTTTAATGGATTTTTCTTGGATGAGATAAGTGAGAAAATACTGCAAAGTTTAAAATCTTATTGTTCAGGATATTTACAACTGTTTGTCAATAAATAAAATGAAAAACCAGTGAAGCAGTTTCGACTGAAAAGAAAAAAATTAGCAGAGCGAGGTTTCGATCCTCGGACCTCTGGGTTATGGGCCCAGCACGCTTCCACTGCGCCACTCTGCTATCCTGAATTAAGCTTGACTAAGGTATAGCTTTATAATGAACCCACGACATTTTGTCCAAAGCCAGAAAATGATGCAATTACTGAAAGAATGGTGAAATCAAGCCGATCGTTCGTTGTCATAAAATTATTGAAGCATGCTCAATATACACGTGCAATTAATTCCGTGAAACCTATAATGGCCCTATAATATTATAATTTTTGAGGGTTTAGAGCAGATAAAAACCAAACACTAAAATTATCTACTTCATCTTTGAGCAAAAGTTTAAATGGAATATTTAGTTGGATGTGACAACTGAGCGATTATAAGTTTAAAATCTAAACACGGAGTACATTGCAAATCGTCATTAATTCCAGTTTTCTCCATGGTTAGGTAAGATATGCTTAAAAGAATGACAATAAAACAGTTTTTGATTAAAAAATACACATTAGCAGAGCGAGGTTTCGATCCTCGGACCTCTGGGTTATGGGCCCAGCACGCTTCCACTGCGCCACTCTGCTATCTTGACTTATATTTTATTAAGGTATAGATTTATAATTAACCCACAGCATTATTCGTCCTAAGGCAGAGAATGATGCAATTACTGAAAGTATGGTGAAATCGAACGGTCGTTTGTTGTCATAAAATTATAAAAGAATGCTAAATATACGCCTGCAATTAATTCCGTGAAACCGTGTTATGATAAGTTTATATTATTTTTAAGGGTTTAATAGCAAGATAAAAACTAAACACTAA